AGTAATTATTGAAATATGAATATAAATTGATAAAATAGATAAAATAAAATTAATTTACTCACATTCAACTAAATTTTAAAGCATCCCGCTGGATTCGGTACAACGTCTATGCTTGTAGGTATTACTGGAACATATGCAGATATGGTGGGTCCCAAAATACTTCATTAATAGGAATTGTAATATGAAAAGCTGGTAAGTTTGGTGCATTGCAATCAACAGGATCATTGAATATTTTTTTACATTTTCAAAATTCTATCGTTGTGTCGCCATTCTTTGACGATAAAGTTTTGTCTTATGTTTAAAAAAATTAATGAATTATGAAAAATGAAATATTTAATTTATATTAATTAAAAATACTGTACCGTCATTGCTCTTGTAAGGGGGTAAGTTAAGACGCGACGCACATCACGTGACTGATCGTTGCGAGGAACCTGTTCGTGGTTGGCGGTGCACGATTATCTAATGTGGGGAAAAGAAGGAAGTGATCGTGAAAAGGGACTTATGTAATAGAGACTTAGCTTACCTATTGTTATTAAAGCATAGCCGCACTAGCCTCTGTAAATAAAAAGAGATGTATAAAAAGAAAGAGACAAGCATTAATAAAGGAGGACAAGACCCGTTATAACATAAAATTACTCGACCAAATCAAAACACGCCTCCTTCACCTTAAGTATTACTCACCCTATCCGCGGTTACGCGAAATCTTGTCTTCCTTAGCGACTGACTCGCCGTTACACCCCACACTCTATAGGGATACCTAGTTCAAGGTTCTTGAATATTTGATATTTTATCTAAAATTTTGATACTAATGACAGCACAGACATATTGTTCTTGCATCCGAAGAAAACACTTCTGTCCTAAACGACCGAAATTTTTACTCACAATTACTTCACAAATTATTCGTGCACGACAATTTCCCTACGTGAAGCATAATAACGAAAATCAAGTAAAATACATATAATACATAACATATCAAACTTAGATACCGTTGTGTCACTAGGTAGACGAGGTGTAATGGTAGAAGCAGAAAGTTTTTGGAGTAAATGCTGTATCTGGAAATATAGTAACATCAGGAGCTACTTCCATCGGGTGCATAATGTACTATATAAAAAGATTATCAAGATTTTTGAAAATTCAATAACAAGAAGCTAACTAGAATAAATTCTCTGTCCAGAAACTACTATGGGAGTATCGTCAATAATTCCACCATTAGGAACTTTGAAAAATTCTTGAAGCCGGCTAACAACACTCTCACGCGCGGATGTGTTCTTGTCAATTATATACACATTGCCAGTTTACTTGTCAGCGTTTAACTGGAACCAGAACTTGTATCCTTCTGATCCGTAATTATTAAGAGAAGTATTATAATCTTTGATCGTTACTTTCGACCCAATTTGGAAAGGCAAACTGTATTTACAAAGTCTACATTAGTTGATAATAGTAATATATCCATAAACCTACCTGCTTTCTGTCAACTGCTTTGGCAATTTTAGATAATTATGTAAAACTTCATCAAATCTATCTAAAGTCCTTGCTCCCCAAATAGCGTCTGAGGTAAGCGCACGAGACATTCTCAAGGCAAACTGTTGGAAGAGAAAATTGTGAAAAGTAAAGCAATCTAATATGTGTCGTGTCGTGTCGTATAATGTCGATCTGATGTGATGTAACTTCAATATACAGTAGCGACTTCGAGAATATCAAAGACCAAAGGAAAGTTAGCTTGGAAGTATTTAAGGCTTTTCGAAGAGTATTTAAAAAACAGAGCACATAATTAAAAAGTTGAGATTTTTGATGAAATTATAGTAGTTACTGTATATTCTTAAATAAGGTACAGTAATTATTTATTTAGTATATAAAGTGGTAAGTGAAAATTATGTGTAACGTTGCATTTACAGCTTAGGCGTTTTAATCGGAGAACTCGCTAGTGAAATTCACCTTTTGATTCGGAAAATGGATACAACGCAGCTTTAATACTCCATATCTTGGAGCTTAGAAAAACGAGAATTGACGGAACGCCCCCAATAGTGTGTCAATATTTATGAAAGTTGACCCATAAAGAAATAAACCATCTATTTGTATATTGTTGATAATATTTAGGTGGTTAATTTTTTAGCTTCATTAACCTGTTTGGACGAAAATCCAGATAAGATGCCTTAATTTAAAGAATTATTCGACTCATTAGATGCGACATATAGATAAAATACATTAAAAACTCCATACGATCCAAAATTTTGCGAAAATGAAAACAATAGTGGCATTTAAAAAAATATTACGGTAGTGAACAATATTGTTAAGAAATTTAAACTTAATATATTAATTAATAGTATCAACTAATTGTCGAGAGAGTTAATAAAAGCCTTACTAATTCTGAGCTAACGATTAGTATTAAAACACATTCATTGAGATCAGCCAGACAACTTCAATATTTTTAATTATTAATTACGGATATCCATTAATTAGAAATAGAGTCACTCAGAACAATGAGAAAGTACTTGAAGCCTGCTGAAAGCAGAAATGCCTATGGACAAAATAATCTTGAAATCTAGACCGTGTAATCTTGGATGAGAAGGGAATAGAACCACCAAAGACTAGGAGAAAGCATTTTAGTGTTTTATAAATCTGCTGAATGTAAAATTATTAGGGCAATCTAGTCTTGGATATTGTTATCGTAATGGGTTGGAGCCGTTCAAGATAGCAAGAAAGTGTTTCGATGGTATATGAAATCTTCTAAGGGTGAAAATGCCAATGGACAATGTGGTCTTGGATAATTCTATCGGAACTACATAAAAAAACACATAATTTTTTATTTTTATATAAAAAACAATTATTAGAAATAATTTGGCTATTTTTTGGTTACTGTAAATTTAAAAGAATACAACTATTTGAGTAATTCTTTTTGAAGGCGGACAGGGATTTTTCTGACTTTATAATCGTACTCCTAGAATTTATATTGTATATGTATTGTTCAAAAAAATAGGTATCAAAATATCGTATATAACATTTTTGTCGTTTTCAAAAAGAATCAGCCATTTATAAAAAATATCGTTGTCTAATATTTTTTAAAAATAAAAATATAAAAATTAAAGCCTAAAATTTAAAGATGATAAAATTTCATGTAAAACCAATTTTTTTTTCCACTTTTCCATAAATGGTTGTGATATAAAAATTTATAATTATATCAATTAAATATTTGAATCATCATATTGTAACGGGCAAACGGCGAGTCTGTTGCACACGTCCCTTTATTATTCTTACATTTCGCACTTTTTTTATACATTCCTCAATCATTACATAATGAAAATTAAATATCTTTTAAATAGGATTAAGCATTATTACATAAAAATTACATAATAAGTCATTGTCGCCAATTGTGGTTATCTTTACATTGACAGGATCAAATCTCGTGCTATGTAGATCGATCACGTGGCGCATTACAATATCGCTGTTCATTCATTGTACGGCGCGTACGATCTCGATACCTGCTTTTATTGCGCCATCCACGTTGTATATAGCCACATTATCATGATACCTGATGGAAGTAGATGAATATAACGATTGTTTTTATTTTACCTTTTACAATACTAAATAAAAACGATTGTTTTTAGAATATATGACTATTTTAATAATTATATTTCAAAATTCACAAGTATTTTTTAGAAAAAAAAAATTTGGTTTAATTTCTTTTAATTTAAAATTTTACCTTATAAAGTTTTATAAAGTTATTTAAAAATAAAAGATCATTTCAAAATATTAAATACTAAATATATTTATGAATTATAAATACAATGTTTTTGAATATTATTATAATTTAATTATTATATTATTTATCTATTTATTTGATCAATTAGTTGAACCTTGTCAAGTGTGTTTTTATTCAGTTTATATACAGTATATATTTCTTGTATTACAGAAATTACTATTTATTGTGTTATTTTATATATTTATTAATTTAATGTATATTTTTAATATATTAAAATTTATATATTAAAATTTTAAAATTTTGTAATAATGTTTAATAATATCAATTATAAAAAATAAATTAATCTTTTTTATTAATTATTAATTCACTTATTAATTTAAAAAGTATTTACAGTATATAATAAAATCATTATTATTATTTATAATAATAATTTTTTAACAATATTACCATTTAAAAATTTAGTTTTTTTTAAAAATAAATTTTAAACATTTTATTTATAAAATTAAAGATAAGAATATTTTAATAAGAAAAAAAATACAATAATAATTTTTTTTCTCTATTTATTTCAAGATTTCAAAAAAAACTATTACTTGATTTGAAAACTTTTTTATCATTTCTTTCGAATCTTTATTTTATTTTTTCGAATGTATAGTTTATTTTTTTCGGTTTAATAATTTCTGAATAATAATTGACAAAAAATTTGAATTAGCTTAATAAATCAATATTAAAAAAATTACATACAGTATATATGTACATATGTACAATAAATATATATTGTAAAAGAAAAAAAAACAATTAATTAATTTATATAATTTTTTTAATTTTTCGTAGTTTTATAATTGAATTAAAAATTTAGATTTATAAAAAAAAATTTAATAACAATATACTGCAAATATACGCATATAACATTAAAAGGTTTTCTCATAGAATTCTTAAAATCCTTAATACATTAAAGGTTAATAAAAAAAATAATTTCTTGTTTGGTTTCAATAACCACCACCATTAATATTAAATTGTACGCAAAGAATCAACAGTAAAGTTTTCTTATTTACCCATAGTACTTAGCACTTATACAGTAATAATTTAAAAAAATTAGATGTTTCATAAACTCCTGAAGACATTGGCTTTTTTTTTATCCTCTATTTCAGACTGCCGATAATCAATGGATAGAACATACTATTGGAAAATTATTTTAAAAAAATCTGAATCAAGTTCAACGCAGAAAAATCTTCATCTACACAATATAAATTACTATTCATCAATCGCCATGCTCACAAATATTGATTTTATAACAAAAACTTTAATATCCGGGCCAATTCATTTGATAATTTCTCTGGATTTGTGGAGTTGCACGATTGATATCCATTTGCAAATTGTTATTCCATTGGTTATACATCGACTGATTCATGATAGGCGTTTGCGGAACTGTCTGATGGTAGTGAGAGCCTATTTGTTGTGTAGGGATCATTTGAGCCGGTAGATGCATTAATGATAAATTTTGTTGATACAGCATCTGTCCATTATCATTAGTTGGCTGTGAGAATAGTATAGGCAGGGTTGGAGGAGGAACGTGTACATTTGATTGCCACATTGGCTGTTGCAACACTAGATTCTGAGAGTTTAACTGTCGGAACATTACATCCTGAGAAGGAAATTGTTGAACACTTTGTTGTAATAACATTGGAAATTGTTGCATCTGTTGTGCCATAACTGACTGAGAAGAAAGCATTTGCTGAGTATTAGGTTGCTGCCATACCGTCTGAGGAAATTGTTGCACTTGTGACATCACTGGTGCCATTTCTGTATCTACGTGACGCTCCTGCTTTATCTTCATCATTGGATGATCACTTGATTGGAGTGACATGTTACTAAATGTGCGTTCCTGTGTATTCTGAGAAAGTGCGTTTGGTATCTGTTGACTCGTCACGCTTGGTGATGAGGGCAACACTACTTTTGAACTTTGAAGCCCAACTATTTGGCTTGCCACTGTTTGATCATCTGCATTCGGGACTCGTTGAAGTGACGTGTTTTGATCAAAATTATTCGTGATTTCTTTTAGAGGCGGTCGAGACATTTCACATTTCCGACTGTCCATTAGAGAAGATTGGTTGGATAATGAATGTCCTTCGAATTGTGTCATATTCACTCGGAACGTTGGTTGCTCTGCCATGTCTTGCGTTTGCGGCGCCACGAAATATTGTTGCGCCGCCTTAACATACTGAGAATTCACCTGACTACAAGTTTTCTGTTGTGCACAAGACATTACTTGTTCTTGGTTTAACATTATTTGTGAGTTTTGACGTGAAATAGGTGGAGGCGGCATTGAACCTGATTGCGATTTCTCTTTATCAACTAAAGATGAAGTCTGGGTAGATTCCCCAACCGGTTGAAACTTTGATGGATTTGAAGATGGAAAATTTTGCACCTGCACTTGCTGAGAAGGAATATAATTAAATTCAAGAACAGAGTTTTTTAACAATTGTTTGATTGTAGCATTTTGGTCTTCATTTGAAATTGAAGGGTTATGTAGTGAATTTTCATCTTGCTCTTCAGTCTCGCTCGCAACTTCACTTGTTGGAAGACCCAATTCTAATTCAGATCCAAATGGACCAAATGAAATCGGAGAACCTAGCATGGATTTAAAATCAGGATATTGGGGAACTTGATTTATTTCATGTGGTGCATTAAGCACTTGAACTTCCCCAGGGACCGTGGCTCCATTTCCTTTGATCTTTTTCATATATTAACTATAGATTAATTTCTTGATCTAATAAATAAATATTATATTAATAGTTTATAAAGCATACCGAGTCATTGTACATCTTTAATTTTTCTTCATAATTTTTCATTGCGTCTTCAGCAATTTGATAATAGGGCTACGAGAGTTTTGTCAGATCAATTGGAGTCGAGGAAAAAAAAAAAGGTCACGATTTATTACCTTTTTTTCTTCATTGGACATTCCTTTCCATTCCTTGCTCAATAACTTGTTAATTCCAACAAAATCCAAGTTCGGGTGTTTCTCCGTAAATTCTTTTCTATTTATTTCATAGATTAAATCTCGAAATAAAATTCACGTGTCATATAATGAACAGAAGATAAATGTTTACCTTTTAACCATTGAAAATTGATGCCAAGAGTTACCAGGTCTTTTAGGAGTATTTTTATCTTTTGCAGATCTTGTTCTTTTTGTTCTTTGTGGTTTTCCGTCATTATTTACACCATCACTTTTTCTTCGTCTTTCGGTTTTATATCTGCGCTTCTTCAACGTTCTCTCCGTTGTTGTATCAGTTGTAGATTTTATGGTCTCCGAATCTTCTAGAAATTTTTCTTCTTTTTGCATGTCTTCATGATTATTTGATTTTTCGCCATCTTTATCAATATCATCTACGGGAATTATATTTGTAATATTTGGGGTGGTTTTCTCTTCATTCTCCTTAAGTATTTCGGATTCCATAAAACTCTCATCTTTGGTTAGGTTGTCTAAATTCGACTCTTCTAAAATTAACTCATGAGGCGGATTTATTGGTGCACTTGTATCAATATTGTCATTTGAAAACAAACTTTGCGTTGATGAAACAGGATGCGGAATTGGTGTGTTATTTGTAGTGTCTGGGGGAGTCAATAGCGAGGTCCTATTCGATGGTGATACTTGAGTTTTTGTTTGTACTTTTATTACAGGTTTAAAGTGACCCATGTCTGATAATTGGAAAAATAAAGAAGGAAGAATAATCGAGGAACAAAGATTGACTATGTCTTAAAAGGGCGTAGCTGATGTCATATGAGTATTCTACCGAATAGTCGAGTCAATCTATTTTAAATTGCGATTATAGTTTCCTATCAATTCAAACAAAACGTCAAAATATACTTTAAGCTTTTTTATATAGAAACGTAAGTATAAAAGAGAATAGCATATGTAATTTATTTGTGTACAAGGGAGTTTATTGCGTGTAAGATTTGATTTATGAAAGTATATTCTGTAAACATCTTATAGATAGTCTTGCAAGACTTATCGCAAGATAATTAAAATTGACAGTTTTAATTACCCAAGTATAAAACGGCGACGCATTTCTTAACTTCTTTTGTATAATCAAATTATTAGTTTAATAACTACAGTGCGTTGTTTTATCATCGTACCATCGTTATAATAGCTTATACTTTTCCGTTGTAAAATTTAATCTCATCATAGACACGATTGAAAAAACAAATATTTATTAAAACGATCAAGTAAGTATACATATGGGGGTTTTTTAATAATTATTATTAACGATACATTTACTGTATGTCTCATATTTGTAAGGATTTATAGACATACTACGCCTGCCTGATTGCGGGTTACAAATAATAATTATTATTATAGTAAGCATTACCATTTCGAAAATAAAAATAAAATAATCAATGGATATATTCGTTGATACGTATACGAATCCCAAACACTTTACCCTGAGTTAATCGTATTATTGACCGGAACCAATGTGGGCGGATGATATAACGAAACTCTATTTGCTTCCTCAAAAATTTTGATTTAATTTTAAATTTTATAAATAAAAATAAAATAATAAAAACAAAATAATAAACAAGAAGAATAAGCATAAAACAAATAAATAATATCTTTTAACCAATTTTATAAACGAATTTGAAAGATGAACTTCATTTTTATATTATAATTAAACGAAAACTAGAAGGTTTAAAAAATTGATATTTTATTAAATTAAAATAATAAAAAATAAAAAGTCTTATCGATTATTTAATTTTTTGAATCCAAGATCACTGTATAATAATATATTAATAAATTCAATTCTTTCGGTTAAAACTTTCGATTAAATAGGATGCCTTTTGTTTTCATCTTATTTGGTTGTATTGCCGTGTATTGCCGGAAATTTAATTCTCCGTAATTGCTACAGTAAATTCTAATGAATCGGAAACTAATTGTGAGACACGATGTCATGATCACCATCTATTGTTTCAATATTTATAATATTATACAATCTCCCGACTCTGACTATGACTTATCGGGATTTTCTACTAAAATTGTATGAAGCCACATTTTACGCACAGATGATGTGATATGCAGTGTAACCAGCTTTTAATTGTAATCCTGGCATTTTTTTTTTTTTGAAACGACCTACTCTTCCCAACTCTTTCTAAGGATTGATTAATGCGCAGGCGAAAAAAATATAATCTGTTCTTTAAAAAATGTAAGCATATTGATATATGCTATGCTGTGTATACATGTAAACAATCTATCATGGAAGTATCTTATTATTCGGCTTTTTTAGATTATGCCACCGCAACCAGATGTAAATGTTCAAGTCGTGCAGCATGTTCAAAGTGCACAAAATATCAAATTGTTTGCTAACAGATACGGTGATTGCTTTGAATGTGGTATTGCGCGTATCGGTTCGGGGTGGTGCAAAATTTGTGAAATAAAGGCATTGGTAAATAACTTTTGTAATTGGACGAGCGGAAATGAATATCTCGATTATGTAATTCGAACAACCCAAGAAAGTGCAACAGAAAGTGTTGATTTTCTCGAATGGATTCCTTGGGAACGGTTTATTCTTACAGAGTACTTGGGAAAGGGTGCGTTTAGTACTGTTTATAGCTCATATTGGCTCGAAGGGCCAAGATGGATTTGGGATGAAGAAGGTGAAAGTTGGTTAAGAAATGGTCCTATCAAAGTCGCTATAAAAAGAATAGACAATTCTCATAATATCACCAACAAGTATTTGGATGAGGTAATGTATTCTATTTTTGTGGTTACTTATTATGAATATTTAAATAATATTAAGTTACGTGGTTTTCCGGTTAAAAATAAGATTCTGAGGTATCATAAATGCATTCAAAACGGCTCTGTAGCAGATTGCTTTGGAATGACACGAGATACAACAGGTTGTTACGCGTTCATAATGAGGTTCTATGAGAATGGAAATCTTTATGAATACCTTGACCATTCTATGGGAGTTCTTTGTTGGAGAGATATCGTTGATATGTTGTGGGGGATATCCGGTGGTTTACATCAAATTCACAAGGAGAACCTTTGTCATGGAAATCTTCACGGTGGAAACCTATTAGTAGAAAATGAACCAGAATCTATTGATACAAGGATTGCCGATGTGGGTCTCCACAGTCCTGCTGATGGTTCAACGAATACCATTTATGGTGTATTACCTTTTGTCGCACCAGAAGTATTAAGGGGTAAACCATATATTCAAGCAGCTGATATTTATAGTTTTGGAATCGTCATGTGGATGTTATCGGCTGGCATAAGACCATTCTGTGATAGAGCTCATGATAAACATCTAGCATATGATATTTGTAATGGTATTCGCCCGACAATAGTTGAGGGTACTCCTGAAGTTTATAAGGAATTAATGACAAGATGTTGGAGTCATGATCCTGAGAATCGTCCCAAGGCTTCAGAATTATATGAGACATTAGGAGATTGGGTCACAGCGATATGTGATAATCCGGATCCGTCACCGCTGTCTGATCAATTTGACGCGGCCGAAGAAAAGAAATTTGCAGACTTTGAAACAAAGGCATTCCTTCAACCGAAAACTCATCCTCAAGCAAAATATACCAGCCAACCAATATATTTTCCCGAATTACTGGATTGAATTAAAAAAAAACGTGGGACAAAAAGATATGGCAAAGCGCATCAATCAAAATTTATGTTTAATATGCAACAATATGATCAAACGCAGTTTTAATAGGTGTCTGTTATTATGCATGCATATGTAAAATTTAATCGAATAAATTGGCAAATCTGTTTATTCATCATAATAAAAAAATCGTTGTAATGTGACTCTATTGAACAAAAATTTTTGAGAGTAAAACTTTTATTAAATAAAGAGAAATTTGATCTACCATTGTTTTCTTTTAAAATTATTTAACTGTTGACATCATGTGTCTGATGTTTTTCCAGGCAAAGCTTACATAATGCCAAGGGTGAGTAGTGGGGTTTTTTTCAAGATATGTGATTTAACTTGAATGTGCCTCTTGTTAATAAATACTTTTTCTTACTTGACATTATCTTGCATCTCTGTAGTTGCTTTCAGATAGAATTGCAAAGTTGGATCAAGTTATCAAGTAATTGGAATTATTTTAAAATTCTTATTTTTATTCATTTATTTATTTTTAGTTATAACAGGTATTAGACATGAAACTTTATTAAATGAGAGTTTATAGCCATTACATTAACCATCTTTTATTCAAGATAACTTAATTCTAACCTAATTAATTATTTCTAGTTACTGCTACATTCTATTACAACTTTGACATATCCAGTATATACAACTTTAAATATCAAGTAGATAGCTCACATACTGAATGGGACTTACATAGGGTGCAAATCCTATCATTAGTTTAAACCACCTAACCTACTGAACTGCATCCATTATAAGAGAAGCATATTATAAAATAATGTTATAGAGATTAATTTCAGCATTAAAGTTATTGTTATCATCAATCCTTAGAATATACTACTAGTATGATCACTAGTTAAAATTGATTTATTCAGCATAATGTCACTTATTAATCATTTATCAAAAAAGTATATAATTCAGCCAATCAAATTTATATAATTTTTCTTTTCAGCTATAAAGCGACATATAATTTATTTGGCACATAAATAATATATTTTTTTAAACCTCATTTTGAAGAAGTTAATATTTCAACAGTAAAATAGATAATTTATTTTTTGCACCAAATATACTGTATATACTGTATATATTTTGACTTTGTCAAATTATATTACTTTGATGAATTATATTATCTTGCCAAATATATATTGC